TTTGTCCTGTTAAAATGCATTATGTTGTTGCTCATCTGAAGATTTATTCCCCTAATAGTAAAACCTGATGAGAGTTAAAGAACAGGACATTAAAGGACATTAAAGTTATAGATAGTTGCATTCTTTGTAAGTGGGCAAACCTGCAAAATCAGCAAAGGGTCAAATACTTATTTCCCCCACTGTATTTGGTGTCTCCTGAACTGATGTTCCTTTATTTATCCCTCTGTTCTCTCTCTGCAGATCTGTGACTTTGGCCTGGCCCGTGTGGCCGACCCCGACCATGATCACACCGGTTTCCTCACAGAGTACGTGGCCACGCGCTGGTACCGCGCCCCGGAAATTATGCTCAACTCCAAGGTGAGCCCCGAGTGTTTCTGCTCCAAAGTGTGGTGACCACAGAGAAAATTAGCCGTTTTTTATCAGGTGGAAAAGCAGAAGTGTTTCCGTCCCGTAGCGCGTCTCTTTTATTAAACGTCACATTCCACAAAACATTTCTGCATTCTCAGTTTGGCAATGTGACCATCTTCCCTATTTCAACCTTCACAAACATCTTCTTGGTCCCAGAGATGGACACATCTGTGTACTGTGTATTCACATAAATAGTAATAAATAGGGTACCAAATGATTGCCAAAATCAAAAAAGCTGTCAGCCTGTCGTGCGTTCAGCTCCGTGGGGTACGACGGGTCGGCAAATGGAGTTTTTATATCAAATCCATGCTAAATAAACAGGGAATCAACCAAAAAAAGTGTTGAAGTTAGAAGTTTTTTGTTAGAAAATCCAACGTCCCTCCACGTTATCCTGCAGTTTATCATAATTTTTATGAAATCATTGGAGGCATGACATGGTGAGCTGAAAACGTTTTTAATATTATTATATTTAGTGATGTCCCCATCCAGCTTTTTTCACTTCCAATCCGATCCCGGCCTATCAGAGCCTGTGTTAAAGTCTAAAGTTATTTATCTACTTACTTAGTTGTCAGACTCATGTTGAAAAGGGATTTACTCTGATAAATAGCAGCTGAATTAGGGGAGTTTGAATAACACACACTGGTTGGTAAAGAGACACTGACCTGTTTATTCAGGGAGAAACACAACATAGACAAAACTATAAATAACAAACGGAAATGGCATCAGTGAACAGTAAAAAGTGAAAATAATATTGTAAACTGTGTTTAAAAAGGCAAAACACACAAACAACCTGAATAGAAAATAGTCTATTAACTCTGTTTTATATCCAGCACTTCCTCTGTTTCCGTCCTTAAGGATAAAATAATCCCACACAGCTCACATTTTTACAGACAGCTTCACATTAACCCTGTAATGCCAAATGTGTCATATCTGATACTGTTTCTGAAATGTTTTGCGTCTGACTCCTTTTGCATAATTTAATGGTAAAAACTTTGCTCAAAATCCTATTGTACACAATCAGATACACCTGATAACAGGGGGCAGAAGACTATACAAAAAATAATCTGGATTTATCACATTGTAATGAATTATTAATATTGAAAAATTATTTTTCTTTTTTCTTTTTACATACTTTGTTAAAAGGCCAAATAAGGAATTCAAACAAAAAAAAAGGAATTTTCTGTTTTGTTTTACTCTTGGATCGGGCTTTAAAGGTTTAACATGGCCGCTTAATGATTAGGACACAGAGCTGTGGGCTAGGAGATGCTAATGCTAATGCTAACGCTGTGTGCTTAGGACCGGATATCAGGGAACAACACAGCAAAGTGGAATGGATTATTTTAATCAGTGGGCTGGAAAACACAGATCGGATTTTTTCTTAAAAACCGGACCTGGATTCTGGATCTCCTGCTGGCCGATAGGCTTTTTTTTTTTGCAAATATCTGAATCCGATCCAGATATCGGATCTGGTATAGATCTGTCCCATATCTGAGGACAACGGGGGAGCGTCCGCCCCCATTATCGCCCCCAGAAACGGGAGGGAAACAAAAGTTCCCACCCCTCACTTTTTCAATCAATCAATCAATCAATCAATCAATTTTATTTGTATAGCCCTTTACAATACCCAAATGGTACTCAAAGTGCTTTACAACAAAGCCATAAAACAATACAAAAAACATAGAAAACATACAGAAACAACAAAAAATGCTGTAGTGGTGCGGGGCATTAAAAGCCTTCCAGAAGTGCGTAGAAAGGAGCAGACAGAAAGAGGAAACCTAAGAGACCCTAGTCGGAATTAAATGCTAATTTAAAAAAGTGGGTCTTAAGCTTTTTTCAGAAAAAACCTTAAAAAAATCAGCATATGACTAAATAAAGTAAATAAAATCAAATAAACGCGGTCATCCCATTTTAGTCCAATGTTGTTTTCTTTTTTTGAGTGGATGGTATTCCAGGAAAGATTCCAGTCTTTGTTTTCAGTGGTCAAACCTGTCCGTGTTCTCGTGCTTTCAGGGTTACACCAAGTCCATAGACATCTGGTCGGTGGGCTGCATTCTGGCCGAGATGCTGTCCAACCGGCCAATCTTTCCTGGAAAGCACTACCTGGATCAGCTCAACCACATTTTGGGTAACAATAATACTTTGTTTTTAACTCATTGACTGGCAGCCATTTTCAGAACAGAGAGTCGCTCACTGCCAGAGTTTTTTGAGAATTTTGACTGATTTTTCAAGAGCCACAGAATAGTTTGTGCTATGACTATGTAAACACCGAACACACCAAAAGAAAGAGTAGACTCTCTTCTTTCATCAGGAAAAAAGATTTTGTTTCTACCTCATTCCGTTCTTCTTCGACGTGCGTCTCACCGGCGACATGTTCTCTCATAGCGAACCATTGCGTTTGTTTTTATTTGCCTACA